TGAAACCCCGGATTGGTCTGCAGCTTGGGGAAATTACTATATAATTAGGTTTGAATGAAAACAATATTGTGCCCACTGTCGTTAGAAATTATCTTGGTATTGACAGAGACCTAGCAATGTAAACGAGGAAGATATAAACTTATAACAGCAACCCAAAATTATGTCAAGTGCCGGTACGCAGGGTGATGGCCCCCTGGCCCATGTGCATACTGGGTCAAGTGGGGGACGTTAAATTTACTTTTATCTCTTATACCCATCGGTCTTCAACAATTCCACACTCAATATTATTATTTTAAAAAACACCCCCCCCCCCAAAAAAAAAGAAAAAATAGAATCGCGCGTTAATAAAAAAGCGAGTTGTTGGAGGGTGACAATGGTAGGTCCTTACTTTTTTACTTTCCCTCTGTTGTTTCTGTCTGTCTTACTTTTTTCGAATACTATAATTGAATGATCATTATTGTGTAGATGTGCTTCTCTTTATACAAACAACCAAACAAGCTGAGTAGAACGATTTTTTTTTCAGATTTCTCTTTGAATAATCTTACCATGTAACAGGCGTAATAATAATAGATATACAGTAATAGTTCGCAGAGCTACATTAGTGTCTAACATGAATAAATGAATCCGTAGAGAAGAATTTTGAATATTTCATCAAAGTGGAAAAGAGGGCTCTGGTGGCCAAGAGATAATTTTAAGATGTTCACCTTTCATTCAATAGTCCCGGGTTCGAATCCGGATAGCGACGGAACATTTTCTTCTCTACACTTCTCTCCTTTCACATCCTTTCCTGCTCTAGCCTATAGACTATAACAATATTCTGTCGTCTGCTTTCGTCTCCCTTTCTGCCCCATCCATCTATGGCCCCATCCCCCTCATGCACCCCTTTTGCCCCCTTCTCTGGGCGCATGACTCTTTCTGCAGCCTGTCTACTGAGCTGCTCCTTGGCTCCTTCTTACTGTTGTCTTTCTGTCACACCCCTGATCTTATGGTTGATAACATTTACACCTAGCCTTCTCGGACAAGGGCAAAAAATCTCGGAGGTCCCGTGTGCAAGTTGCGCACATTAAAGATTCCTTGGTGATCCACAAAAGCAATAAAAGAGTAGGCTTTGGCCATCACCAGGGCAAAATTCAAAATTTCCTACCAACTGAAAATGTTTAATGTGTCCGCGCGCTCATATGACCTTATGCAGTTGCGAGCGCCGTAAAACCCTTACCAAAAAAGAAATAAAAAATAGAATAGATCTAGTGATTGTTTTTTTGTTGTTGTCTACTTTAAGCTAGCTTGGAACTGAATGTGCACGTCAATGCGCAAGTAATGAACGCGAATAAAGTACTTTGTTTAGCCAAAAATAATAATGTGTTCTTTTACCTCTGTCTCTGATGCAAGCATTTTTGTTATACGAATAACATTCTCGTAAGCGGAATATCCACCACCCGTTTCAGCAGATGTAACTGAATTGCTTGATAAAGTTTGTAATATTACCAACATTGAGAAAGAATCACTGACCTCTGACATGGCTGAGGCAGCTGAGACTTCTGCAAGCAGTGAGTAAAGGTTCTCTCTCTCTTTCTCTCTCTCTCTCTCTCTCTCTCTCTCTCTCTC